TTGAAACCCAGTGTGAGCTGAGAGACTATTATTACCAAAGGGACGCGCAAATGAATGATGTAAACCAGTGCAAGAGCTGAAACTGCACTAGTGCATCCTTGTCAATCATAAAAAAACCTGTATTTCACGATGCTTTATGTAGGCTGTTTACCAATATGTTTTGTGCAAAAGTAAGTTAGGCCTGCTACAGATTTAGAGATCATACCAAAAAAAGCCTTAGGCTATTAATTTAGTGCCTTCAAAATTAGATCGAGTCACTGTTATTCAGTACATCACCCTTTTTAATAATTAGCCGATACTGCGTAAAAGTCTCTCGTCTCTTGGCCGTATGTGTTCACTCCAGCAGCACTTTACTCGTTTGGGAAGGGAGAGGGGAGGGGCGCACGGTCACCTTTTGTGCAAATATATCAGCCAAGTCGCTGCCATCCGCATCAGAGTTCGTGCGCCTAGAAGGACGGGGGAGCCCACTGCACTACTGCGTGTGAGAGCGAGAGCAGAGGGTGAAGGATCTGTACCGAGACGAGAAGCTGCAAAGAAATACAAGGACGCGACGCGGAAAAAAAAAGCCGCCAAGTTGAGACGCAACTATGGAGAGAGCGATGTTGGGACGGGTCGGGATTTGTTGCACCTTGCTTGCTGTAGCGCTGCAAGGTACGTAGTAATGATAATAGCTATTTTAAAAGAACGTTGAGTAAATTAAAAACTGGTTACTTTTCTGTAGGTTCTTGGAACAACCTGTTTGTTACCTTGTAACCTAGCTATATGAATGATAAAAGAGCCCAAGTGTCGAAAGCAACTTTGGGGACTTAAGCGACGTTGAGCGGAAGATATTTTCAAACACTTACTTAAAATAAACAGGGCTTTTGTGGCTGTTGGCGTCTTTGAGGGTCTCATGTTTAAGTCAGGGAATGGTTCAAGGGTTAACAACCTGGACTGGTCGTGGTCTTCGAGGAGGGGAGGAACGCTCCTGCTCCGCTGCACTTGAGAGCGCCAGTATTACAGCGCTGCCCCGCGCGTGCTTTCATCTAAATTCAAGTGTGCGGCTGCGAGAGTCCAAGTTCATATCACGTCAGTATGATTCTGTGTTGTTGAAATCTAAATGTACGGTCTCACACGTATTACTATATTTTCAAATCATTTTTTAAGGTCATAAAATAAGAAATAATGGCATAAAATGAAATTCGACATTCTTCGTTAACTCGTTATAGCCTATGAGGTGTACAATTGGGTTCACCTATTATAATTTAAAACGATACAATTAAATTATTTTTGGACTTATTACAATACAAATATAAAAATCATATAGAAATATTGTGTAGATATAAACTACCATGTATAGAATTATGTACTGTTTGGGTACCATGATCTTATGTAGGCTACAATACAAGTTAAAATAGTGTATGCAAGAAGTAGAATCAAGTTATTGTACCTCCGTAATGAACCCAGATATCAATTTCCCTGTGTTAAATGCTCAAAATGTTTTTCAAGCAACTGTATTTTATTCATTAAGAGTCTGATGGAAGGAAAATAATATGTTAATATTCTGTGAGAATATATGATCCTGCTCCGCTATCAAGTCTATTGCGCTGTATGCGCCCTGCAGTTCAGTTGATAGCAGTTTTGCTCTGCTTTGAAGTGTTTGGCTTCCTATGACCAATGATTTTTCAGCACAGAGGAACTGTAGCCCCGACTCTAGCTCCGCCCATTCTCTGACTGACAGTCTTTACCACTTTTTTTCCACGTATGTGTTGCTGTATTATCACTTTTAAAATGAAGCCTAAATGCAAATTACCACATGTTTGACTTGCAGATAAGTTGATTTAATTTTGACACTAAATTTACATTTTATGACTATAATTTGACTTGTCAATATTGAAAGTCTGCATGTTTTCCACTTTAACATGACTGTATGAGTAAAGACACTCATATAAAGAACCTCTCTTCAAAAAAAAAAAAAAAACCTTCCCAGAGGTACTTGTGTTTTATCTTTCTATCTGCTCTTAAGGCTCTCTTGCTCCTCTCCCCTACTGTGTAGGCTCTTCCAGCATTCTTACCTTTTCAATGCTGCGGCTATCTGCAGTCTTTTTTTTACCTACCTATCTTATCCCTCTGCGCCTTGCCTTTCTTCCATTGTTTGAGGCTCTTCTCGTGCAAGTACGTGTGGAGCAGCAGACAGAAGGAGTGTTTCTTCTGATGAGCTCATTCAAGGCTCCAGGGTGCTGTGTTTGGGTTTAATACACTGATCTGTGATGCTGCTGTTGCTCTGAAAGCAGGTCCTCTTGAGATCTTCTCTTCTTTAGCTGTTTATCCCTCTCTCTTTAACTCGAACGTCATTAAGAATTTACACATTTTTGCATATGCTTTAATTGGGCTGATCATGGGAATCCTCAGTTACTCTCTTCTGATGCCAAACTATGGCCAGACTGGTCTGGCAGTTTCTAGTATCATACCACATGATCCGTGACTTCTCAAACTCAGCCAGGTTGAAAACTGCTACCCTTCCATAAGCCCCACAGCTTCTTTTCTTTGAGCACGTCAACAGGAAAACCTCTTTTAACGACTTTATCCTCTTTCCGGGAAATTTCAATTGATCTGTAGCCTTTAACTGCCAAATGACAACCGCTGGAACTCTGCCTGTTCATTTCAATTTGTTGCCTACCTCTCCCAGAGGTACGCCATGCCTCTGCTAGAGCTTTCATATAATTTACCTTATAATGGAAGTCTCAGTGATTAGCATTTAAAATGGTTCCCGTCCAGCTTCATATTGGAGCCACCTGACCTTGTTACTGTAACCACCAGCACTGACGAAGCAATACCCTCCCAGATGACATTTACACAATATTATTTGCGTTTTTTTCAAGCCCAAGTTGCATATTCTTAGGAGGTATCAGTGCAGCACCTCAGCAACTGATCGCGGTGGGATGTCAAAAGGTGGCGGAAAGAATCATCGAGACAGCTTGTCAGCTGAGTTTAAGACGCCTCGCAGAAACAATGCTTTTCCCTTCTTTGTCTGTTTCCCTTGCTCACTTCCTTGCTTAAATTTTCTCCTCAGCAGAACCTCCCCAACCGCAGCGGCATCAAACGCAAGTGCGCACACACACATCACCCCCTGCAGCCGGCAGTAATTATTATGGAATTAGGAGGCTTCAAATTAAAACCCGCTCTTTGTGCTGGGCCAGCCGATAAAAGCCAATCTTGTGTCTGAGGTGGCTTCTGCGAGCTCAAAGCTCCTATAGATATCCATCACGCACACACCTGCGCATGAATCTAGACACGCACACCTGTGTGTTTGCAGTGTAAGCCCACAAGTTGTGTAACTGTACAAACCCAAGGTGCTAATTTGGCCGGCGATGATGGTAGTGGTAGAAAGAGCCGGTAAAGTGTATGATTGGGCTCACTGTTGTGGGCCCCAGTCTCTCGGATCAGCTTTGTGATTCATGCCCGTGAGGAGGGGGGAGCCACTGCTTGGAATGAGAAGCATTCAGCAGGGGACAGGTTACATCTCGCCCCCTGACTCTTCAACCCCCCAGATTCTCTCTCTTTCTATCCCGTCTCTATTTCTCTCTCTCTTTCATTCGGCACAGATGGACATGCAGGCTGCCAGTGAAAGCAAGTCACACAACCACAACACACTGGTTTTAATCCAAGACCACAATATGGCACTTTGCTGCTAGGCCATAAAGCATTTTTTACATGTCGATCACATTTTAGCGGTTTGACAGCTCCCTGAACCTGTAGCATGGCAGTTAAACAAAAAAATTGCAATTGCGATTTTTATCCGAGAAAATGCTATTTGATTTTTCAGTTGTGTCTCTTCATTGCCCTTCACAAATCCTCTCCCGTGGCCTCATGGGATGGTAATGTGTCCATTGGATGCTCACTTCAGAATCTCACTGGAAGTAATAGGTCATTTGGGTACTTTTTTTTTTACTTACTGTTTTATGAATACTGTGAATTCGGACATTCTACTCTTAACATACTGTTTTTCACCTACTCTATAGTAGGGAAGTATGCATATTCGTTCGTACAGCTGAATGATTTTTAAACGCCTCAAATAATAATCAAGAGTGTTTGGGCTTGTTTTAATTGTTTTGAGACCCATGATGAAAGCTTGTTTTTGGATTGGCAGCAGTTCTTTTGGCAGTCGGTTTGAGGAAAGTTCACTGTGCACTGCTCTGGCACAAAACGGCAGCAACCACATGCTTGCTCAGAAAGAGAGATACTAAGCAGTCTGTCTTTTCATCTTAATATCATCTAAGCCAGTTTCCCCTGATCTTTTGTTTTTTGTCTTATGTATCTCCACAACCCCTAGACACAAGCACCCTCTCATCGACACCAAATCATAAATGTGTTACTTTTTAAACTTTTAAATAATGTTTAAGTTGAATATCAGTTAACCATATGTTTAATGTTATGAAGGCAATATTAGGTTACTAAAGGTTACAAAGAGTCACTAAAACTAAAAACAATCAATTAGATTCCTCTGTCTTTAAGGAGACACCTGACTTGTGTTTGACAAGTTTTAACAGTTCTGATGGCAATCATGGAGAAGTTTTATCATTTGTAGTATTTTTATAGTAAGTTTTATAGGTTTATTAATGCTTAATCAAAACATGCAATGATAGCCAATAAGGTCAAAAGTTGTTTTGGACCCCACTGACTTTCATTAAATGGACCAAAACAGTTTTTCCCAAATATCTTATTTTGTGTTCTGCAGAAGAAACAAAGCCGTGCTGTTTTTGATAGACACGAGGATGGGTAAATGATGACCGAATTTGTCAGTTTTGGGTGAATTATGCATTTAAGTATTATTTCAGTCAGGGTAAAGTTTTCGGAAAAACAAATGATTGTTTTGGTCCACCTGAATTTGAACTTTTGAAGTACACGTAAACATATTGACTGATCTGAGCCACAGCTGTTCAGATGCTGCTGCAGATGTTGCACTCAGACACAACACACTCAGAGAGTTTTAATGCTGTGGATAAGCTCTGTCTGGGTTGTTTCTGTGTTTGTTAGTCTCTCTCTTTGTTTTTAGTAATGGCGGTGCTGTTTATGATCAGTGGGTGACCATTGATGTGTTGCGTGATTTATGGTCGGTATTGTACGTGCTCCAGCATAGATAACTGTGAAGTTGACTGGGAAGACAGACGGTGTCTATAGATTCTGTGCTGGCAGGAAAGAATTTATTCATGCAGACCCACTGAGCTCTTTCTCTCAGAATTTATTACCAGCACTGCTGATAGTCATTTCTTCAAAAAAGAATGCAGTATCCCTCCATCACTCCTCCCTTCTTCTTTGCCGTCTGCACTCAAGCTCCCACCAATCCTCCCATCTTTCATGAAATCTGGGCCCTGCCCAGTCCTTCAGCATTCAAACACTTTGCCCACACTACAAAGCATCCGGGCAAGGCAGAAACAGAGATAGAGGAAGCCCGGTAGCCCACTGCCCTTTGATTTCACCAAGGCTGCAGCTTCAAGGCTGTTATTAGTGGCATACAGGAAACAGAGAATGTGTAAGATATATTGCGTGTGTGTTATGTCTGTTTTCTGTACAGGATGTTGAAGTGGTCCGATACTAAAGTGGGGAGCAGAAGGATATGAGACAGTGAAAAGCTGTATCTGTGTGTTGGGCTATAGTACTTTGAAGAATAG